CTAATGATTTTTAGTTTACTTTTTAAAATACAACATATTAATTAAAACTTAATACATAATTTTAGAATTTGGGAAAATTAGTAACTGCACCTATGTTAAAGTTTAAAGATGCTAAGAATGACTTCAACAAACATTYAAAAACAGAATATCATCTTCTTTCTGTTCAAAGAGCAAACGACTTCCTAATCAATTTTGAAAGTGGGTTTGAAAAAACAGTTGATRTACTCTTTGATAAACATCTACAACAAACGATTGAGAGCAACAAAAAAAGGCTGATACCAATTGTTAAGACAATATTATTCTGTGCTAGAAATAATTTACCATTGCGTGGTCATCGAGAAACTGGTTCTTTATCATTAGAAAGTGTGAGAAGTTCTTGTATAGTTGGTGAACAAGGTGTTCTTCGTGCACTTCTGGCTTTTCGGGTAGACAGTGGTGATACAGAACTTCAAAGACACTTTGAAACWTCCCCTAAAAACTGCACAATGATCAGTCCCAAAGTCCAGAATGAGATAATTGATGTGATTGGTGATGTAATTGTAGGGAAAATAGTTGAACGAGTCAAACAATTTCGATTTTTTTCATTACTATGTGATGAAACTACTGACATTAGCACTACTGAACAGATGACAGTATGTATACGATATGTAGATACGTCATCTTGGATACTTAGAGAAGATTTTCTGGGATTTGTAAAAATGACTTCAACTACTGGTTTAGCAATAAAAGATGCAATATTAATAAAACTTAAAGAAGTTGGTCTTAGCATAGATAATCTTAGAGGACAAGGTTATGATGGAGGAGCAAACATGYCTGGTAAACGTAATGGTGTCCAAAGTCTGATTTTAAATGAGCAACCACTAGCATTCTATACGCATTGTTTTAGCCACTCTTTGAACCTTTGCTTATCCAAGGCCTGTAATGTTTCCTCGATCAAAAATATGATGGGAATTGTATCAAGTATTGCTGCTTTTTTTTCTGCTTCAGCTAAGAGATCTGATAAATTGAAATCAGTTATTTTAAGCGATAGCAATAATTCACAAAAAAAAGAAAAATTGAAAACACTGTGCGAGACACGTTGGATTGAGCGTCATGAAGCATTGATTACATTTAAACAATTGTATGTTTATGTAGTGCATGTTCTTGAAGATATTTCACATGATCCTAATC